GCACAAAAGGCCGATCAGTGGCATGGACACAGAAAAGTGTTACCCGGGAAACGGGGGTTTCACTTTTTAAGAACTTAAGTATGGTAACGATACTGTGTTCGTCATTTTGAATTCTTTACAGCAGCAGTGATATATTATATTGTAGAAAATTTTCTTATTAAATATTACCTCACTATTTATTATATCGATTGACTGTTTGTTGAAATAGAATTAACGAGCAAACTTACGCAAAAGCGCGTACAAATTGTGAGTTTGCATGTATAACTACGCTTGACAAAACGAGAATCGAAAAAAAATTGATCGACTTGAACCTGTTTTCAAAAAGACAAGTTTTCAAAACAAACTTGATTATCTTTGTATAGATTAAAGACAAACGAAAGAACCTCAACTGCTTTAAGCAAATGTACTTAAAACACTCGTAATATCCACTGATATACAACGATCGTTACGCGTTCGTTCTACACGCTTACCGTAGCGTTAATCGTATCTCACAGCGGTTGCACCCTTATTGGTCGCATGGACAATACCGTGGGGTAGCGTTTCGTGTTGCGTCGTTTTAATTGCTATTTTGCTCGTGTTCCTCTGTTTAAAGCCCCATACAGTGTTCCGGGCGGATTAGTGTATCCGCCGCTTAAATGAAGATATTAATGTCGTATTCGGTTTTACTGTTTACGGCGGTTATTAAGGTTGGTCTTGGGAGGCAGAAGCGGTGTTGTAATTTTGCTAGAAAGAATGTTTGCTCACTTTGAGTTTTAGCAAAGTTTATATGGATTTACGAGAAATACTAATAATAATTGCTTTACTTTTTTATAAGTAGGATTTGGATTTCAGAGGGATCCTGGAAGTACATTATTAGGTTTAATCGTATTTTAAAAGAATACCTAACATTTTTTTTTACATTAACCTTTGTAAATATAAAAAAAAATGTTGTTAGGCGCGAAACTCAAAACCACTCGTTATGGAAAACCCCAGTGGACATCCTATGCCCCAACTTGGGGACATTGGGCAATATTAGGTAAAATAAGTCAAAGTTTACACAAACATCGAGTAGATTTGCTAAACAATTACGATACGATAATTTTTTATCTTAAGTTGTCTGTAGTTTGCGCGAGTAGGTTGTACAAATTTAAATAATATACTTTTTAACGGTATTAAAACCGAAATTTATAAGTTTATTTATTTTGACTACGGCCCGAAGAATAGAATGCTTTGCAGCAGCCATGGTTTGAACTAAAGATGGAGGGTGTCCCTATTGTCAAAGTCAAATCTGCTATAGTAGTGGCATCTAGCACAGTATACTTCGCGTTTTAAACCCGAGAAGTATTATATTAAAATCGTTCCTCACAGCTAGTTAATTTCAAGTGCAAGCTTCTTTGCAAAGTACGTCAAACAGATCAAAGCTACTTAAGATATTCACAGTAAACTATGAAAATGTACGGAATAACTAGAGTGAATGAAAACAGAAGACATACTAAAAGCAAGGGTTATGTAGATACATGTCTGTACCTAAGCTCAGATCAAAGGGCTGCGGCGGGCTTTGTATCTGCCGACAGCCCATGTATATGGCGTTTGTGTTACGTGCTAGGTATTTTGAATAGAATTTCAGTTATTTAGCTCAATTATTAATATGTATAGCGATCGCGATTGATTATTACTCGAATAAGCAAAATGTAATTTCGGTACAGTCAAGTCAGATTCGACACAATTTGTATGTAGTTATTTATATGGATTACAGTTATAGGTGTATATGGTACAGTTCTGAAAACTTATGAGGCCATATATTAGGACCTGAAGGGTGTTATATGGTGCTATTTATTTTCTTTTAGCTATAGATTTTTTCCAAAGTTTATAATACGAGTATAAAATGTACAGCGTACGTTTTGAAGCGTATTGCAATAGGCTTTGTAAATAGTCGTATTATTAGATGAATCATTTTTACGTTTATTGTACTAGCTGGTAAAAAGTGGACATCGATACAAATTTTTTGGTTTTTCGAAGGACTAAACGAAAAGTAAACCAATACATACATATATATAACTTTCTGGAAAAGTTTACCTGTGTATAAATCCTCTACTTTTAACTTATACTAAATTAAACAGTTTTTGAGGTTTCTGCGAGTGTATTTAAATATAAAACACTTAACGATTTAAAACGTAAAATATATTAGTAAACTATTTTTTACTATAATTTAACATTTTGGATGCTTGTGGTTAAACAGCATTGGCTGTAGCAAAGCTATGTAGTTACAAATATACATAGACTACGTAGGTACCTAAATGTCTCTGTTCGAATTCCGGGGTAAAATAAGAAAGGCCGAGCAGGGCATAGAAATAAATCAGACAAACGTATGAGTGTAAAAGAAATGACGCTGTGGCAGACACAGAAATGTGTTCTCCACGGCCCCATGGGGAGAAACGGGGTTTCACTTTTTCACTAGTGAATCACTGTAGGAAAAATACTGTAAGTATCATATGTTCTGTATAAATTCTGTACTTGTAGACACGTTACGTCTTTAAGATAGGTTAGAAAATAAAGGTGCCAGAGAGTCTGTAATATGGTTATAATATTTCTGCCGTGTCAGACGAGTCCACGCTGACGGCACATCTCAATATGGAAATATCTACGATAACGTTTATTCGCGCAAGGCTCTATACGGCTCGTGGAATAACATCGTATTTCAAATTACTTTTATAATATTCGAAGACATATTAAAAAAAGTATCATTTACCATCACTAGACTTAGGTTAGGCTTGCAAAATGCTGAATGGATTGTTATAAAATTTGGTATATTAAGTCCACCTATAAGGACTACTTCTATTTTTGTATAACAATATTTATTGAAAAAAACATCAATGAAATAAAAAAAATATTTTAAAATAAATGTTGCAAAATTACAGGGACAGGCCTACAACTTGAACATTAGACTGCGACCAATAGAAGCAAAGGAACATAGGGAAATCTAGAAAAACGGGGGAAATTATTCATGTTTGAAGGCTTTGTTGCGTGCGTTGCGGAAACGGATTATAATACCCTAAAATGATGTACGAAAGAATGATCTTCGACGCCCGGACGAAGTCGCGGACACAGCTAGTTAATAAATCAGTTTATTTATGCAAAGTACATAACTTGGAACTAAAATTAATAATAAAAAACGTACACTAAAAAGAATTATAAAAAAAGTACAATTTTAAACTTTGTACTAAACTTCGAATGTGTGCCCAACAAGGTTTTCTAAGCGCTGATTTTCAGTCAGTCCCTAATCAGATATTATATATTATAATCAGTGTCGGGATGATCTCAATAAACCGACCATAAACCAGTCCATTTCCCCGCGGTCACTGCTTAACGATAACATAACTTACTCCACGCATAAATAAATATTCAACCGACACCATATATCCCACTAATTTACTACTACGGAACCCCATAATAACCATTTATCAGGACCCTGCGAATAAATATTCTGCGACATTTTTCTTCGCCTTATCTTAAGAGGCCAGACGCTCTTTCGTCCCTTTCTCTCGCGTTGTATATTGCGTGTTGTCGTCTCGCTTAGGTGACGTTTATCACAGCTCACCTACCCTTATTCAGTGCGTTTTATTTAGTTTTGGATCTTTAATGGATTTATTCTACGGCTCCTTTGACCTTGTCTGTTTGTCTTGCAATTTTAAATCACTACCGAATTATTTGGGGACAAACAACGTCGTTTAAGCATATCCCTAAAGGGTTAACTATAGGTATCTACACTTATCTTGTTTATAAGATCTAAAATCATTTTTTGTGTATGTTGGTACCCGAGTGCGCTTATGACATCTTGTAAAAGAAGAATTGGAAGAAAAAATAGTTTAATCTCACAATTATTTACTCGAATATCAAGATATGTAATTATTGAGTTTATTTCAAACAGAGTACCATGTTGTACATTTATTTAACTATCACAAAGCTAAGGAACACGACAAGACGTAGCCAACAAGTAACAAACTTCTTTATTTTAGACACTCCTTCAACAGCGACTGTTTTGTTTGAACAGCTGGTTATCGCGTATATTTGAAACGCCAGAGTATATAGGAATTAATTTAATACTCTTTATCATATAAATATTCCTATATTAACTTCCGCATATAACGCTCGGGGGAAGACATTACTGCACAATCTGATCGGTATTGAAATTAAAAATTCCATAACTGTTGTTCGGAGTTTGAGAAAAACGTTCAAAGCCAACCTAATTGGATACAGACTACAAACCACTACAAAGAGGGATGTTTGAGATAAAAATGAAAATTAAATCTTCCGAGCGGATGAGCAGAGTAATGTTTTTGACGGTAGGGGGCGGTGGGCCGCGGGAGTCCCGCAAATCGACTATCAAAATGCCGAGGAAAAAAGTTGCAGTCTGTGACCGACCGCGGATTGCCATTTCGTTGTTTTTTTTTTAATTATTCCCGTCTGTGACCAGCGCTGTGGTTTACTGTTCCGCTTTGGAATAACTTTGTAATTTTATACGTTTTAAAGTAACGAAGGAATTAAAGAAGACAAAACTCTTGTGGACGTTTATTTTTAGCTCACAAAATAACCATATCCGAGCTGCTACATGGCTAAATGATAAGATGTTATTGCGTAACATTGCGTTTACCGTAAAAGTTATAAATTCCTACGAAACGAAATAAATACTAAAATAATAATCATAGCTTAACTACTTCTCTATGGCCGATTTGAGCCATAAACTACTAGTCGCTCTTTTATATAGTGAAGTCGATGCCACAGATGACAAAGTAATAAAGAATCATCGATGTTATATGGATAGAACGACCTCAATATTCAAAATCACACACGATTACATTTAAATTGTGTGTTTGTTTACTAATAAATTTAAGTTATAAAAAATACACGAATTATACGATAAAATCTTTAGCAGTATAATACTCCTAAAAATAGTACATGTAGGTAAAATAATTTAGACACACACACCAATGCACGCAACAACGGTAAAGATTCACACTAACCTTTCTTCATAACCGGAATATCTCCATTACAGCCTATAGCCTGCGGTCCAGGACTCAAGTTGTGGAGTTGGTACGGACTGCGGGTGTCAATTTGCGTAGGCCAAGGAGCTCTCGGCCAACTTGGAGTGGACCCTGGTGTGCCAAGTAGCCGCAGCCTATCGTAAACTGGTGTGGAACAGTCCGATGGCGGCTGCTGTGAAGTGGACTTCTCTTTTTGGGCTGCTAGATTTCGGAGGACTCGGTTTATGGATGACACCTGTAAAATGACGCACTTTTGTTATATACGATAGACGGGATAGTCGAGCAGGGGGTCCACTTGATGGATGATGAAATATCCTAGATATATAACAACTAAAGAAGATGCGCTGTCCATCTATTTTGACATTGGATGTTCAGAAATCCACAGACTGAAACCAAAGCGCGAGAGCGGCACGGAGGTAATTTCAATATCCACCACTGTAATAATCTAGATTTCCAGATAAAGCGAGACATTTTTTCAACTGCCATAACAGACAGAGGTCAATGCGATAGTGACTTATACTATAGCACATTAACCAACAAATATATACACAACATTTAAACAATAAATATTATGGACTAAAATATGTTTCACCTGAGCTAACAATATCATCTGAATTAATATATTATATAATTAAACATATTAAAAAAATTTGAAATGTTGGACCTGGGGTTTGAACCCACGTTAATTACTTAGATTTATTATAGTTAATTAATTAGAGACAATCGATCTCATCAAATAACAGACTTTTTATTATATATATTTTATCACATAAGTTTTAAATAGTTTATTTAAATATTATTTCAACGTCCCAAGCTAAAGTCCGTCCTCATCGCTTAATAAAATAATAATAGAGTTTCAATTATATCTTGTGCCCTATTTTCACTATTCATAATAAGACATTGTATTTGTATTTCTTGATATTAAAAATAGAAATAAATATAAAAAAACTCAAGGAAATTCATATCTCCATGGTAACAGTAATTTATCGAATCAATAATTGAACTACGAACTTCCCTTTGTGTTATTTGAAAAATAAGTGTTTTTACGTAATAAAACAAAATTTTACGGATATTTAAACAATATCCTCGTTTCTCAGCCTACTTGATATTGAGTTAATTTTATTATGCTTACTGAACGTTTCTTCTTGGTATCGAAAACCGAAAGGAACTCCAATTCGACATGTTTATTTCTAGCATTAATTAAATAAGAACAACGTCGCATGTGTGGCCTATAACGAGATAATATTAAGATAGTAAGCCGATGTCAATGATAAAGTCGTCGCATTGACATGGAGTCAGAAAAGCGTGTAATGTACAACTTAGAACGTGTAATCTAATACTTAGTTTAAGATTTTCATCGGGCTTAGAGCCTACGTTACGCAAACATTTACAATGCGTAATCTTTATGAACACTACAGTTTTCTTTGAAGGAGAAACTGAGGGACACAAAATAAAAATTAGTATTATGCGCAAATAGCCTACTTTTTCGAACCTATTGTTTAGATACTAATTTTAGATAGTCTTTATTTTAAAAAAATCTATTCCCGTTTCCCCACAGGGGGTATAGAGTGAACAAATTTCCGTGTTCGTTTCTTTTATAGTTAATAAACAATCTACTGTTTCCCTAGGATTTCGTTTTAAGGCTTTGTGGGAATATTTAGCATTTGTCTACAGAAGCAATCATTTATTATATAATATCAATATAATAGTTTCACAGTTTACTTTGTAGAAGAAAATGTGATTGTATGATGTTTGACATAATTCTACTATTAATGAGTAAAAGTTGTTTGTTTTATTAATAACTAAAGTACTACATATGATGAATAAAGATGTTACAAAATTTTAATGTCGTGCTTATTGCGAGATGGACAGAAGTGAGCTCTAAACTCTTACTTACCGCGATAGACAAAATAATATAACTCGCCATATTAATTTTACTAATTAACTGGCGCGTAATTTCTTGTTTTTTGATATATGAGTAGGGACATATTGTAGCATATGCTCCTACAGTACGCAAATAAAATAGGCCACCCACCACAGCGTATAGGAACCGAAATTGTCCACAGAGCACCAACTGTCATATTGGCATGTGACAGCGCGGCAAACGGACGTAACTTAGACGTAGGGCAGGAAGGTAACACGGTAACCCGATCCCGAGAGACGCGGTGGTCCGCTGCCCGCGCTGAATGGCAGCTGACGCGATGCCCGATGGACCGAGAAAGCGCGGCACGTTCGAAACGGCCGTTCTTTTTTTTAATTTTTTGTCTATGATTAGGAGTTAGATTGGCCACGTAGAAATATAAACTGTGGTTGCCATTATAAATAAAAAATAAAATTATTTTCTTATTTTAATAATGGGAGAAGGTTCAATAGAAAAGTATTGATAACAAATGCCTTTCCTTGTAGTTTAGTAACTATATTTTCTGAATCGCAAAGTTGTCGCTCACAATAACTAGACAAAGTTTGAAACAAGTACTTACAGCTCAGGTGGTGAATCTGTTCGGTCAGAAAATTATAACAAGCCGTCTAATTAAAAGTCGATCTTGACTGTCCGACTAGAAAAATGGCTCTCAAGGGGTTGCAACTTAGAAAATTTTCATTTTTCCAAACAAAATGAAATGGAAATTTTTAACAAGGAACAAACGACAAAGGTAACAAGTCTTCTTAATTGATTGTTTCTTCTTAATTGTTTGATTCACTGTTCTCTAATTGAAAGTGAACAAAACAATAGCGTGTTAAAAATAACAGATCAAACCATTTTACAAGATATTACCCTTGATTCGTACAAAGAATGATTTTATTAAAATTAAATTTTTGATAATTTTTTAAATAGGGATTTTATATACCATGATTGAATATTCCAATAGTAATATTATAATAGTGTGGGTTTAAGTTTTACTTGAACATTACCCACCACATGGAATTATCGATGTACTTACTAAGACCGCTTTTTAAATCTGTTGCACATATAAAACGTATGTTGAATGACATGTACTTTATTTTTTTATTTAATTTTGTTTTATATTACTTTATATAATTTTTATTTAGAAAAAAAATGACACGGACGGAATAGTCACAGTATATTTATTTGTGAAATAATTGCTTAAAGCTACTGTATATACTTCTCACTATAAAGATAAAGATAAAGCAACTGGCCCTTAGCAATTTTTTAATAACGCACACAATATTAAACTCAAAGCTACGTAGATCCGCGTAAACCAAATAATAAACTATCCGAAAAACACTTCGCTGATTCAGTGCCTCGGTTATCAAAGGACCACAGAATGTAAAAAACAATTATGCATAACCATAAACAAACGGATCGTGTGTGTGGCCATGTGTGAAAAACATCTGTGCACTGGCCGTTTATAAAAAAAAAACTCGCAAAGGACCTGTAAACCTCTACATAATTCGTATTACACGCCCATTGACTTGTTTCCGCGATTGTACTCGACTAATTCACCAATTAGTAAATAACCCCTTTTTGTGAATTTGTTTATATCTGTTTACACATATTAATTTTCTTTATGAGAGTGCACTTAGACAATGTCCGGTTAACAATCGGTTCGCATTAACAATCGGTTGGGCTTAAATAGATTTTTTGCGGTTTCAACGATGTGGAAATCTTATTACAATTCATTAGGCTACTGCATTTTTTATATAAAGGATTAAAAGAATTGCTGTACTTAAAAGTTTTTTGGGAATGTTCGGAGGCTTATCAGGTAAACTTTTGACAGGTATTAAGCTTGTACGATGGTTTAAAAGTATCAACCAGTTTTACTTTTCTTATGCGACTGTAGCAATATACAGAACGTCATTGTTAATATTATTTTTGATCTCAAGTCTGTTTTTAAATTAGTAAGCTAACCGGTTGTTTTTGAACAAAAACTTCGACATACGAATATGTCACCAACTTTTGTGTGGTCAAGAGACCTTAATAATTTGGCCGCAGGAGTTCTGAGTCCCAGCGGTGGACACTATTGAGGCCAGAAGTTAATACAACGACATTAGTTTATTTTATAGCTTCGTCAAATATATCGTTTAGTAGGTTAGACACATTTACAATTGTTTATAATATTATTCGTTGTTTACGCGGGTAAATAGTAAATGAACGGGTTGTAACTAATTATGTTAATTAATTTATAATCATGACCCGACAAAATTTATGCAGATTCTTTATTCGAAAAAAAAAGATATCATAAATGTACAGACCTAAACGTTTCAAATGAAATAAAATCTCGAAAATCACACCGACATTCGTGCCCTCGATAGAAGTCGAGTTTTGAATACAAAATAAATTACATTATACCGTGCACCTCCAAACGGTACAGTAAAAATGAAAGGTACCCCTAAATACCGGGTGATGTGAAGCGAAAAAATTATCTTATATTTGCTCAGACGCCGTGAACGTAGGGCGAAAATACTTTTCAATAAGCTTAGAGATTTTTTTGAACAGCGCCATCTTGTTGAAGGAGCGATCGATGAGTTTCCAACATTTGAATGTTTAATTGCATTTTAATCGGCTTAAATAGTTTTTACGCTTTTAAGGGAAGTAATTGCTTATTACGTGTCTATAAAAACATCTTCATAGTAATTAACTTTTATTTTGACTCTTTCATGCTTTAAAATTATTGATAAAACGGCTACTGACGACGATGACGCCATTGATAATCGAAACTAGATTTTCTATTTAAACAATGTAGGTAAACATTATTGAACAATCCATTTACATAAAACCTATGACTCGATTATTTTTATTTCGGTTGTGTATTATATTATTAGGCTTACGAAAACCAAATTTAAACTAAAACAGTTGTCAAATTATCCTGGTACGAAAATGCACGCTTAAAGAACGCAGCCCTTGAGTTGAACTCATAACGTAAATGAAGAAAACGTAAATGAATTGGATAACTAAGATTTTAGAATCGGATTTATAATGTAACATCTTCGTGCTCTAGATCCCAGTTGCAGCTCATCAACTTGCGCTGGACCAGCATAGTGAGCGAGACAAGGACAGGGGGGGAAAGGTTAAAAACGTATTTCGTAACATAATTTGATGGGCTCGTAGTTTTAAAGGAGCAATGTATGGCTTATAAAGGATCGTGGGTTGTATTCCCACCGGGTCTACTAAAATGTTTTTAATCATAACGTCGTGCCTAAGTTAAAAATCATTTTCAAATCATTTTAACTAATTAATCGTTTTAAACCGTACACATGTTGGACTTCAAGTCTAGGCTTTTATTAAATCTGATTATTAAATTGATGGTAGAAATATTCCGTCTGGGAGACAAACCACCAACCAAAGTTAGAAAAATTGAGCAGATTAATCGCGCGTTGGTTCAGTCAATAGATATCAAAAAAGCAAAGCCAAAATAGGTCGACAACGCACTTGTTTTCATTTTATATTCCTGGGATGACCTCTGACATAAAATTCCTTTTAAGATCCCGACTCAACTAGAACGGCCTAGATGGGACAGGGCGCAATTATAACGCGAAAAAAAGCAGTGCATTACTCGCAGCATTGTTGAGCCCTGAAGGGCCCTCACAATAGACAACCTGCTGAGAGCATTGTGAACGACTCGGCACTTTGCGAGTCAATATTTTGGCGGA